AAGAATGTAACAGAAGTTGCATTTGATTTGTTTTTATTTAGTTTAATTAATGAAATGCAGCCATATTTATATCTAAACCTGGATTATTTTCCCTTTTGTGCCCCATTCAAAGTTCTGGTTACTGTCATTAAATGCAAGAAACATAAGACCTGCTAGCATGATGTAAAATCCCATTCCCTCCCCACTCCTGGTGGAAAGTTACTGCAAAATCCCATTCCCTCCCCATCCCACTAACCTGCTTTCCAGCTCTGTTCTCCTTTGCAGGGCAACCAAAGAAGACCCATCCAATCATCTGGGACTCAGGAAGAAGAGAATAGATGGGGGTGGGACCAGTCAGAGGTGGTATTTGCCAGTTCTCCAAAGTACTCAAAATTTTAGCTACTGGTTCTACAGAACTGGTCAGAACCTGCTGAATACCATCTCTGCTTGTTCCCCATTCAAAGTTCTGGTTACTGTCATTAAATTCAAGAAACATATGACCTGGTAGCATGATGCATTTACTACCTGTCCCACGTAGTATTTTCCTGGCTGGATCCCTCTCAGAGAGTTGGCACACTTCAGGTTCCATCAGTTAAACAATGCCATTTATAGGGAACCTGGAAAGGCTGCTTTTCTTTAACAGAAGCTACCCTCTTGAATGAAGCACTTTCAAATTCAAATAGCCCTCACCCAATTTCTGTTTCAAAGGTCTCTGAAGAGACAGTTTAGCCCAGGCCTTTGGTAAAGATGATCAATACACCCTTTCTTTCTTCTCCTTGTTTCCATGCACATAGTTTTCTCAGCCATCTCTGTTCTTTTGACTTGTTCTGGTGTCTTAGTTTTGTTTCTTGTTTTAAAATACTTTAAACAATTTATAAACTGCCTAGAGTGACTGATTAACTGCCCATCCACCCACCCACCCATCCATCCATCCATCCATCCATCTATCCACCCATCCATCTATCCACCCATCCACCCATCCATCATCTGTCTCAGTGTTGCAGTGTCTCTATCTCTATTTCTTCTCTTCTCTTCTCACCCCCCTCTCTCTAAGTATGTGTGTGTGTCTCTGTGTGTGTCTGTGTGTTTCTGTCTCTCTCTCTCTGTCATGCCCCCGTCAGAGTCTGAATCTGAGAAGGAATAAAAACAGCTGATACAGGGACTTCCGGCGGCAAGGCAAGGTTGAACAGAGGGGCAGAAACCCGCTCGCAGTTCCAGCTTTTCTCTTCTTGAGTTTGGTGCGATCTTTTGGGGTGCTCAAGTCTTGGAGAGACCCGTGCAGGTGTGGGGGAACCTCGGACTGTAGTGTGGGGAAGGCAACCCCCCTGCAACAAAGAGGGAGCCCTCCAGAGCCCAACGATCAAGAACAGCCCCATGTCAATGGAGGCTCCAAAGTCCGGACTGCCACCGATGTGAAGGAAAGAGTGAGTGACAGTTTGCAAGATCGTTGAGAAAGACAGTGGTGGTAAAAGTTAGTTGTGGAGAAGAAAATTGGAGGAGTACAGATTGACTCTAGGCTGTTATATACTCTATGAGCATCTGCCGGGAGCCCTAAGAGAAAGCGGCTAAAAGCGAACTTGACAAGTGAAAGTGAAGGGGCTTGGCAGACAGAAGAGAGACAGAAATAATAAAGATTTAAAGAGGAATTTAGAAGATCAGCATTAGGGAGTGATTGAAAAGATTCAGTTATCATTTTCATTTGGATAGACACTATTGAATCGGAGCTACAAGCAGAACCAAGTTGATCGGGGAAGGAAAAGAGACAGAGCGGCGCCATACGCGGTATTCAGAATGCTGAAGTGGCTACAACAAAGTAACAGATTCAACTGACTGTATAGACACGATTTACTTAACAAACCTCGGGAAACTTGAGAACATTGCTCTATCGGAGGAGATAGCTCCTTCTCTCCATTTGAAGAAAATCAGAACAATTGAATTAAGGACCACTAAAACATAAGTAAAATCGGAAGCCTCTGATCGAGTGGGAATGCTGCTTAATGGTAGCTGTTACTCAGCAATTTTTCAGCCTCCTTTTCCGGTGTGCTCGAAGTGAAAATTCCCAAATTGAAAAGTGAAAACTAAAAATTCCTAACGCTAGAGTTTCCCCTTTTCTTTCCTTCTACTCTCTTTTTTGTATATATATTTACTTAAAATACTCTCCCTTCTTTTCTATTAGTTGATGCTATGTTATGTTGAAATATGCTTGCTTTTTTTTCTTGATTCTCTCTCGATAAATATGCATACACAGTAAAGAAATATTAGACTGTTAAAATATTGGATCAATTAATTTAGTTAAATTATTAATAATAGAGATTGTTATATTTTGAATGGGAATATAGGGGAGACAGTAAGAACATTAAGTATTAGTTATTTAACAATTTTAGAGCTCCCTAGATCATCATCGTAATTTATTGTGTGACTATATTTATGAATGTAATATATTTGGTAGTTAAGGTTACTTTACATTTAAGTTAAATAAGAGAAATACATATATATTTCACTAATTAGTCAAGAATATTGTTATTTAATAGATTGATAGATCTTGGTCAATTCTAGTAATAGAACCAAAAACACTGAATGCCAATTTGGAATAATATATTTAGTATTGTACAGCAACAAAAACAAATCTTAAAGGAAATGACTTCTACAACCACCACAGCATTGAAATCTGGCAGAAAGGTCAACCCCACAATAACAACTACCTTGGCAACAACCTCACCTATGGCACAAAAAACAATAGAGGAAACACTACCAATAGAGAAACTGGCATCTCGAATGCTAACATTCAAGCAATGTTTCTAACTTTACAGGATTCATTGACAAGACTGCAAGAAACAATGACTAAAAACCACAGTGAAACAAGAGCAGATATTAATGAACTGAAGGAAGAGATGGGGAAACTAAAGGCAGAAATGAAAGCGGACATCTTCAAAGTAGAGGATAAAGTGGGAGTATTGCAACAGGCCTTGGAGAAAAATGAAGTTAGAATAAAAGAGGTAGAAAAAAGAACTGAACGAATGGAAAGGGAGTTAGAAAGAGTGGATGAAGATCTTAAAAATGTGAGCAAAGAAATGGAGGACTCATTGGTCCTCCTAGAGATGGACAAGACAGCAACGTACTTAAGATTTCAAAATGTGTCAGAATCAAAAGAAGAAGACCTGGAATATTTGATGGCAGAAATACTGGCTGGTCTATTGAAGATGGATAAAGATGACATCCAAAAAGAGTTTGATGAAGTTTACCGGGTCAATACAAACTATGCAAGATGCCACAAATGCGCTAGGGAAGTCCACATACAATTTACTAGAAGATATGTCCGAGATATGATATATAGAACCTCTAGAGATAAAACAATAACATACAAAGATAAGGAAATTGTCATCCTTAAACAGATACGAAGGAGAGTAAGGGAACAAAGGCGTGACTATAAGTTTCTGGCAGCTTATTTAAATAAAAAAAGAATTACATTCAAATGGCTTATTCCAGAAGGAATGCTAGTGATGTGGAAAGAGAGGAAAATTAAAATAGACACTATGGAAAAAGCTCAGGACTTCTACAAACGGATGGTGGGCCCACAGGAGCAAAGTAGTAGGGAGGAATTGGAAACAAATTCTCAAGAAGAATATGGTGGACATAAAAATAGAACCGGAACTGTAGAGAACCAAGAGAACACTCACTTACAACAAAAGACAGAAGGAACCACACAAACACAAGTGCAAGAAGAGAGAGGAATTGTTGCATGACAAAGAGCAAAACAGAACTAAATAGATGGGAGAAGAAAAAAATTTACTATCAATAAACATAAACGGTTTAAATTCGACAAATAAAAGAAAAAGGGTATTAATTAAATTAACCAAACAAAATGGCGATATAATATGCCTCCAAGAAACCCATATAAAGAAGAAAGATGAAAAATACTTAGAATGCCCGAAATTAGGAAAGTTATTTACCACACCAGCGGATGACGGGAAAAAGAAGGGAATCGCAGTATATGTGAAAGAGAATATGAAATCAGAACTAATATGGTCGGATTCGGAAGGAAGGACTCTGGCTTTGCAGATCTGGATTAATGATATCCCAATTCTTTTAGTAGTAATTTATGCCCCAAATGGAGATCAAAAAGAGTTTTTTAAACACCTATATAGAAAATTGGTTGAATTGCAAAAAAGAAACATTTGTATTATAGGAGACTTCAGCTCCATTGCTGATTTTCAAAAAGACCACAGTAATGGTGGAAAGAATAAAAAGGGGAAGAGAGAGCTCCCTAAGATCTGTAGGGAAATGATGAAAGAGCTAAATCTGACAGATATATGGAAAAGACTACACCCTGAAAGAAAACAATTTACATTCTATTCCAATCCCCACCAAATATGGACACGGATCGACATGGCATGGATGAATGGGGAAATAGCAAACGATACAAAATTTTGCCCAACGAATGGGCAGACCATAACCCAATTCAGATAATATGGAAGGGTAGGGCAAAACCAAAGAGAAGATGGATGCTAAATACCCAATTAATAACAGAAAAAGAATATATCAACAAATTAAAGGAGGAATTAAATTTTTTTATAAAAGAAAACGATAATGGAGAAACTACGAAACAAAATATTTGGGACACAATGAAGGTGGTAATAAGAGGTATAACAATCTCTTATAACGCCAAGAGAAACAAGGAAAAATATTCCCAACAAAACAAATTACAACAAAGAATTAAGGAGCTAGAAACCCTCCTACAGAATACCCCAAAAGATTCAAAACTGCAAAATCAGATAAGAATAGCTAAACACAAACTGAATTTAATTGAACAAGAGAAAATGACCATGAATTTGAATTTGACTAGACAAACCTATTTTGAACATGCCAACAAGCCAGGAAGATGGCTATCTTACAAATTTTAAAAAAAGAAAGAAAAGAGATTGATATAAAAAGAATTAATAGATAGTAAGGGATACACCAGGAAATAGAACAGAAAAAAGAAATTACTCATAAATACTTTGAAGATCTATATAAAAAAGAAGATGTCAGTGAAGATAGAATAAGGAACTATTTAGATGAAGTGAAGGATAAGGCAATTGGGGAAGAAATGGTAGAGCTACTAAATAAAGACATTACTGAATCAGAATTGAAATCAGCAATAGAGAACCAGAAAAATAACAAAACCCCGGGCCCAGACGGGATTCCAGGGGAGCTGTATAAGGCAATAGCAGAACAAATTGGACCACTTATGGTGGAAGTTTTCAATGACGTTTTACTGGCAGCCAGGATGCCGGACTCATGGAGGGGGGGTGTTGATTTCGCTGATCCTGAAGGAAGACACGGATCCCAGATATATAAATAATTACAGGCTGATTTCACTTTTAAATACTGATTATAAGATATTCACTTCTATTATAGCAAACAGATTAAAAAGAATGTTAGATTTGCACATACATGAAGATCAAAACGGATTTCTCCCAACTAGGCAAATAAATAAATAAATAAAACAATTTAAGAATAGTATTAGACGCACTAGAATTTTATGAAGCCCACCCCGAGAAACAAGTAGCATTCATGATTTTAGATGCAAAGAAGGCTTTTGATAATCTAACTTGGCAATTTTTAATTCAAAAAATTTACAATTTGAACCTGGGCACCAAATTTGAAAATATTATAACTACCATATATGACACACAACAAGCTAATATAATAATAAACGGGGAATGTACTCACCCAATAAAGATAGAAAAAGGGGTGAGACAGGGCTGCCCACTCTCTCCCCTGCTCTTCATACTAGCATTAGAGACACTATTAATCTGAATTAGGCGGAATTCAGATATAAAGGGACTAACGGTCAAGAAAGAGGAATATAAATTGCAGGCATTTGCGGATGATATGATTTTTTTTATCAAAGAGCCAATAGATAGGGGACTAAAATTGATGAGTGAATTAGAGAAATTTGGAGCAGTAGCAGGACTCAAAATAAATAGAAAAAAACCAAATTAATGACTAAAAATCTAACAGAAAAACAAACATAGAACTAGAAGAAACAATGCATATACAAGTGACAAAGAAAGTGAAATATCTAGGAATTTGACTAACACCACACTGTAAGACACTTAAAGAAAACAACTATGATAAATTGATACATCAGGTAAAGAAAGATTTAGAATCATGGGGTAAACTTCAAATTTCACTACTAGGTCAGATCGCCACCATTAAAATGAACACCCTTCCCAAATTTTTGTACTTATTCCAAATGATCCCAATTAAATTACACAAAAAGTTTTTCGAAGAACTCAATAGAATAACCCTGAAATTTATTTGGCAAGGGAAAAAACCCAGAATAAATGTAAAAGCAATGCAGGATATGAAGAGCAGGGGAGGGTTAGCATTTCCAAACTGGGAGTTATACCATATGGCCACCTCATTAGTTTGGCTGAAGGATTGGGTGAACTTAACCAACAAAAGAATATTATTCCTAGAAGGCCACGATTTACAAAGAGGGTGGCATGCCTTCTTATGGGATGTAGGGAAAACCAGTCAAAATTATTTCCATAGACATTTAATCAGAGACGCACTACTAACAAATTGGAAGAAAATACAGAAAAAACATTATGCAAAAGTACCAATATGGATTTCAACAATGGAGGCGATGATTCACCCAAACAATCGAGATTACCAAAATGATTAAATACAAAGACTTATTGGACCCACAAGGAAATTTGAAACCGAGGCAGGAACTTCAGGAGCAAGGACAAAAAATTGACCAATGGGTTTACCTTCAGATTCAAAGTAGATACAAATGAGACAAGAAAGAATTTGGAATTAGCAATAAACTTCAACAATTAGATAAAATTTTATTAGGATCAGATAAAAAAAACATAAACAAATTTTACAATTACCTATTAGAAACAGAATTAGAAGAAGAAATCGTAAAAGGAAATATGATCGCTTGGAGCAGAAATGTAGGGCACAGTATCACATTAGTGGAATGGGAGAAAGTTTGGGGTAGAAACAATAAGATCACTAAATCAGCAGCATACAAGGAAAATCTTTATAAAATGTTTTATAGATGGCACCTTCCCCCTTCGAGGTTAGCGAAGTTGCACCGTAACATGAGTCCATATTGCTGGAAGTGTAGGAAAAAAGAAGGAACCTTTTTCCATATGTGGTGGTCTTGTACAGAAACCCAAAAGTACTGGAAGAAAATCAAAACTTGGTTGGAAGAAATTACAAAAGAGCAGATCGAATACAAACCAGAGTCCTTCCTACTAGGGATTTTTGATAAACAAATTTCCAAAAAAGCTAAATACATAATAATACACATTCTAACAGCGACCAGATTAGCTTTCGCTCAACACTGGAAACATCATCAAATTCCATCAGATGAAATGATTATCGAAAAAATTTCAAAATGTGCAGAAATGGATAAATTGACTTTGGCGCTAAAAAACAAAGATTCTTCACTATATTATGATAGCTGGAATTGTTGGTATAATTGGATTGACCAAAGATAAATTATATATCATAAGGCATAAGAGGAGCTATAATAATGAGGCATAAGCTATAAAAACGAGGTAGAGATATAAGTAAAGAACAAGTGTGTGTACATGACATAAATTAAGATTATGAAAAAAGATCTTGCAAACTGTAAAAATAAGAATACTTTTAACCTTCTTTTTTTCTCTTTTCTTTTCTTTTCTTCTCTTTCTTTCCCTCCTTCAAATTTTTCCCTCTTTTCTTTTCTTTCTCCTTTTCCTTTTTTTTGTTTATTTGTGTATGTATTGTTGGTTGGTTTTAATTGTAAAAACTAATAAACTATATTTAAAAAAACAAAAAACAGCTGATACGGAGTGGGAGTGTAGCTCCTTTGGCTGTGGAGAAAACTGGGGAAGGGCAAAGTCTGGCTGGGCAGAGCAGGAAAAAAATAGAACAAGGGAGAGGGAGTTCAGAGGATGACCCAGGCCCAGCCCCTCTTCATCCTATGGCACTCAAGGACGAAGAGAGAAGAGAGCAATGTGGGTTGCATGGCTTATGGGGAAGAAAGCCCTAATTCCCTTCATTATCCAGAGACAGGAAGAGTTTTTAAAAGAGATGCATGCTGAGTGTGGCAGCTGCTGGGAGCAAATGTGAGTTTATCTGGTGTTGACTTTGGTTATCTGTGTTCCTGGCATTCCCCTAACCATATTGAGTTATTGCCATGCCTTCACATCTGGAATTCTTGTTCCTGTCCTGCTGGACAAATTACCTAATTTTGTCTTGATTGGGCTTATAGTTACAGTTTTTGTTGATCATGTTTTGGACTTGATTCTCTGCAGCCAAAGACTGTCCCTGGGAGAGTTTTTATCCAGCCAGAAGGTAAGCAGAACAATGGAGGCAAAGTTGGAGCTGATAAAAGGACTTGTTCTGATTATCTGATTGGGTTGCCTTTGTGCCACACCCCAGGTCATCACAGTCTCTGTCTGTCTTTCTGTCTCTGTCTCTGTCTCTGTCTCTCATCTACTATCTACTTTTAAAGCACCCAACTTCCTCTCAGAGCCCTTATTATTGTAATGGTACCTGAGTGAATCCATGATGTCACTGGATGTTGCTTTGATGAATATGGAAAATTCCTCCTTGTGGATCTATTTCTCCAACTATGATGTTTGGGAGCTGTTTGGGAAAGTAACCAAATTTACAATGTCAAATCCAGCCTCTAGTGCTCCATCTTCATTTAATTTAATTTCATCTCCAGCATTATTGTTGAAGGAAATTCTCTGCACAAATGAATGGAGCTTCCAGAAGAAAAAGTACAAGGGTTAAAAGGAAACAGATTAGCCTCCAAAATGGCTTCAAACAATCCCGCTTTTTAAGTTTGGAGTCTTTCTTCCCCAGGAATAAAGAAGTAAAGAAGACTGAAATAGTCTAGTTGTTATATTGGACCACAGTCCACCTTATGGACTAAAATCTCTTTTAGTACATGTTGATTTTTTTTTTCCCGTGACAATTCAGAAAGGTATTTGGAAAAGATTGAGAAAAGGCCTTGGGAACAAAATCTATTGAGGAGAAACAGAAAAGTAGAAGTATGTTAAAGACCAGTTTTTTGGATGTGGAAGGAGGAAAAAGCTGAGATGTCTAAAGAAAAGACAATACTTTCAGTGGGTCAATGTTTGTAATATCTGGAAGAAAGATGAACATCAGTGATGTTTAGATAGCTGGTCTACAATAATCTGTTGACTCATTAAGTCTTGCCACTCTGTAGTGTTAAGTTTGGTAGGTCGGACTCACAGAGACGAGAGACTCCGGTTAAGTGAACAACAGCTCTTTATTTAACAGGCTAGTTCTGAGTAAAATAACAGCGCTCACGGCGGCTCTTCTTATAGAGCTAGCCGCGGCTAGGTGGCCAATGACATCGCTTTGAGTTTCCCGCAATTGGTTTCATCCAATCGCGGCAGACTCCTAGCAAACCAATCACAGCCGTCCTGACTGTCCAATCATGTAGCAGTCTTTGTGGACCAATAGGAATGCAGGGTTTCAAGCCTGCTAATATGGAACACCCCTCCCCTCTTGGTTTCATCCAAGTGGGGGGGTGACGTAGTCGCATAGGTAGGTGGGTTTTTGGACCTGCCTACTTGACCTGCGTGTCTCAGTAGGTCTCTGGTCATTGCCTGGTTTGGACGGGCTCTCAACCATCTTGGTGGAACCGCCTGGAAGGGTGAGCCGGGCCTATAGCTACGACTCCCACCTGGTCTGTCCGGATTGGTCGAGTCGTTCGCTCCGCCGCTCCCGCCTGGATTCTCTGGGCTGGTCGAGCTTGTCCGGCTACTCCTTTCAGGTGAAGCACCTGTCTGCAATGGTTCTGTGTTTTCAGGTGAGTATGGTTGGTTGATTGTTTGGCTTCTGATTGGGGGGTGTTCTGCTTGCATTAAGAGTTTTTCTTTTTCAATGTTTGAGGTCCCCTCCCCTCTGATTTCTTTGTTACCATCTGTGTGAGGTGTGCTGGCTAGCCTTGACCGTAGCTGGTCGATGTGTCACTTCCAGCTTCACCCATCGGTTGTTTCTAGGTGGTATGACTGGTGTCCGGTTATTTGGGTGATCTGTGCTGGTACCCAGAGAGGGTCTCCGGTGAAACTTTTTGCAAAAACAGTGTCACCAATGTTAAATGCTCGGTGTCAGCTGGTGGAGCCTGGGGGTTTCTCTGGATTATATGTGGGGTGTAACCGGTCTAGTGGTGAACGGAGTCTTCTGCCCATAAGTAATTCCGCTGGGCATTTGTTTGTGGTTGTGTTAGGTGTGATATGTTGTATTAGTAGCATTTTATTAATTTTTTCCTGAATGTTGCTGTCTTCTATTTTTTGTATGTTTTTTTGGGTAAACTGAACTATTCGTTCGGCCCACCCATTTGCCGCTGGGTGCACTGGGTGAAGGGTGATGTTAAAGCATTTCTGATGCCTTGGTTAGCCAGGTATTGTTCGAATGCCAGTGCCATGAACTGTGGTCCGTTGTCGGACACTAGCACGTCTGGCAAACCGTGTGTGGCAAAGAGTTTGTTCTTTTTTTAAAAAAAAACAAGTTTTATTGGTTTTACAAACAAACAAAACAAAACATCATTAAACATTAAAAACATAAAACCTCTTTCCATTGTAAATCTTTACAAGGCAGGTAACACATTGTTTTATATCACATACTTATAATTTATCCCATTTCCATATAAACATGTAAATTCCCTTTACCAAATTCCACATTGTTTCTCTTTAATCACTATTCAATCATATTTCCTTTCTAATTTATCTGCTATTCAATCATCACATTTATATTTTCCTCTGGCTTGTTTGTAATTGTTCTCATCTAGTCTTCCTCCGAGATTTTATTATTTAATTCTTAATTGAACACACACACATAAGACATAAACATAAAAACATAAAACTTTCTTTTAGAAAGTAATTTGGCCCTAGATTACCTCTTTTTGTATGGACTTCAATTGAATTCATGCTCTTCTTATTTACTTCCTGTTTGCCAGGCTTCGGTGACAGCAGGGATTCGCGTCTCTCCACGATCCCTGCTGTGCTAGCTGCCTTGGTGCCTCCGATCCTGACAGATTTGGAGGCTAAGGCTGCCCTGTTGGGGCAGCTGAAGATAGGGGGGATCCGGACAGGGGTTGAGGGGTATCACAAACCCCCTCCCCAGTCGGCAATAACCCCCTTCTCTCAAGACGGTGGAGCGGCGGTCTTAATGGCCGCCATGAAGAAGCCGGCAACTGGATAAAGAATGTGCAGGAGGAAGAAGAAGGAGTTTTAAAACGAAAGTTTTTTCTTGGTCGAACTGGGACCTTAAGGACATATTCAATATCTGGGAAAGTATTGGCTTTTTTCTGGTCGCTACAATGTTCCCGATTGATGTTTTCAGCAGCGAAGAAAAGTGATGAAAAGGGAAAGTTACTCTCCCTCCCTTATGGAATTAACAAATGGACAAGGAAAACCTGCTTTTTAATAGAAGGTAAAACTTAAACCCTTTTGTTATAAGTGGGAAGGGAGAGGCTTGGGAAAAAAATTTTTTCTAAGACTTTGCTAGAGGAGATGCCTTGAAGATAAAGAGAATAGAAATTAATTGTAAAAAAGATTTAAAGCACAGACTAGACGTTTTTACTTTCCCTAATTTGACTTCACCCCTGGAAGAGAAATTGTAAAAAGAAGAAGTTTGTACTCTGCCTGGATTGTTCGATGACTTCAGGATTTTGGGACTTTTGGGAACTGTTTCAAGTTTGGAAATAACTGATTGGCTTAATAATAATAAGAGGATACAGAAAAAGAAGAAGAAACAGTTTAAAATGGCTCTATCTCTTGATGGACTAAAAAAACAATATTTAAAAATAAGGAAAGAAGGCAAAGATGTTATGGGAGAAGCCCTTTGTTTCCTAGATATGGCGCTTGTCATGTGTCAGCAAATTAAACAACTGGAAGAAGCCAAGGAAGAAGAAGCCATTTTTAATGAACTAAATGGTGTGACTAAGAAAGAAAGGAGAAAGAGAGGAACGAAAAGGAAGGACTTAAGAAATAAAAAAATATTTATGAAAGAGAAAAAGAAGATGCAAAAACAACAGAATGCTAGAAAGCAAAAGGAAAGAGGAATGCAACAGAGAGGGGAAACCAAGAAGGCAGAGGTTTGGAGAGGAGGGGGTAAAAAGTTTAGGTGGGCTAAGAAGGAAAGGGAAAAGGGGGAAAAAGTTACAAAGGTATAAAACAAGATGGAGAAAAGAAATTTTTTTTTTTTAGGGATAATGGGTAATGTATGGGGTTTTTTTTCTTAAAAAAAGGGGGATTCTGCAAAGTACACATGAGTATTGTAATAGTGGTATTTGTATTATAAGTAGATAATCAGAACTTTTTAAGATCTAATAAAAGACTCAAATATTAAGGTATAACTTTAAAATGTTTAATAATGAATGATTTTAAGTTTTAATAAAATACTAAAGGGAATGTTTAAAATATTAGTTTAAATATAGAGTTTAATGGATTAATGTGTTGACTGTTATGGATTTATTATTATAGTATTGGTTTTTGAAATAGTAGAATGTACTAAGCAGAATCTGATTGGGATTTAGGTGTTATTTTAAATTTTAATTTAGGGGAATGATAGAAAGGCATCATACTCTGATTAGTGATTCCAGGGGAATCTATTCTTTTTTATATTGGAAATGAAACAGATGTAAATGGAGAAATGGACAAAAGATATAAAAATATTTTTTTTAAAGCAAGATTAAATATATAAAACAGAATTAAGACGAGGGAAAAGTGGAGAGGAGTTATATAATAGATATAGAATGGTAAACAAGATAGGTAATGGTATATAAGAAGAGTTTGTTTAGTTTCTATGATGGCTTCTGTAGTTGTTGTTTTCATAGTGCTAACTTCCAGCCAATTTGAATAAGCATCAATGGTAATCAGAAATGTGTGTCCTTTAGTGGGGCCGGCGAAATCTACATGGATCCATGACCAGGGGCCTCTAAGGGTTTCCCATTCCAGGATTGGTGCTGTGGGGGGTGTGTGGATCATGTTTGTTGGCATCTGTTGCAAGCAGCTACCCATGTTTTGATCTGCTTGTCCATCCCTGGCCACCAGGCGTAACTTCTGGCCAGGGCTTTCATTCGGATGATGCCTGGGTGCCCTTCATGCAACATGTCCAGTACTCTTTTTTGTAAGGTCTCTGGTATTACCACCCGGTCTCCCCAAAGTATGCACCATTTTTGTGAAAAAAGTTCAGTTTGCCGGTTCCTGAAGGCTTTAAAAGGTTCAGTTTTGTCATTTTCAGGACTCGCACCAGCCACTTATCTTTTTTTGTTTCGTGGGCAATGTCGGGCGCGATCGGGAGTGGGCTGGGTAAAGTTTCTATTTGAAGGACTGGTATTGTTGGTGCTGGGTCATCTTACACATCTGGAAGGGGGAAACGGCTTA